CTCCCCCCCCGCATCCTCCTGGCTGCTCTGAGCTGGGGGGGGGCTGCTCCCCCCGTTGGGGGCCGGGCGGGGGCTGAGCGGGGCTGTTGCCGTTGCAGGGGCCGGTGGCCTTCGAGGAGGTGGCCGTGTATTTCACCCCGGGGCAGGGGGCGCGGCTGGGCCCGGCGCAGAGAGCCCTCTACCGGGCCGTCGCCCCCCCCCCCCCCCGCGGGATCCGGGGCCGGAAGGGGGGGGAGTCCGACTCGGTTCCTCCCTGGGGAGGAGGGGGGCGGGGCCCAGAGCTCCAGGGAGAGACACTTTCCTCTCCGACCCCCGCGAACGGGACCGGGGAGCGAAACCCACCGGAGTGCGGTTGCCTGTACGTGCGAATATATATGCAAATATATGCAAATAGCTTCTTTCCCACTGACGGGCATGAATACAAAGACGAAGGCGGGACCATGCCACACGCAGGCCCCACTTAAGTCAGTTCTGAGGATAGAAATAAATTGCAATATCGACCCGATTGCCACGTGGAACGAGCAACGACAGCCCCGGAATTTAGAGCATAAGAACATAAGAACGGCCGTTCTGGGTCAGACCAAAGGTCCATCTAGCCCAGTATCCTGTCTGCCCACAGTGGCCAACACCAGGTGCCCCAGAGAGGGTGGACCGAAGACAATGATCAAGTGATTTGTCTCCTGCCATCCCTCTCCAGCCTCTGACAAGAGGCCAGGGGCACCATTTCTATCCCCTGCCTAATAACCTTTTATGGACCTAACCTCCATGAAATTATCTAGCTTCTTTTTAAATGCTCTTCTAGTCCTAGCCTTCACAGCCTCCTCTGGCAAGGAGTTCCACAGGTTGACTGTGCACTGTGTGAAGAAGAACTTTCTTTTATTAGTTTTAAACCTGCTACCCAGTAACTTAATTAATTTAATTTAATTAATTTAACTACTAAAACACATCTCGACCGAAGACCGTTCTATTGACTCCTTTTTTGTTTTGGCTCCCACCTCGCTCCGTCCTTGGGGGGGCTCGGCCGGCTAGAAACAGGCAGGCATTTAGCACCGGAGCTGGGCGTCTGTCAGCGAGTCCCCCGGTGTCCGTCTGTCCTGAGATCTCCTGGGGAAAATGGGAAAACTCCCTGCTCCTGGGGTCTGTTGCTCCCCAGGACTCTGAGTTAGCCCAATCCCATAGAGGGGCAGGTCCCGTGTGCCAAATCCTTTCCCTGTGCTCCCCACGCCCTGACTTGGCCTGGTTTCACCCCCTGCGCAGGGTTCCCCGTCCCCAAACCCGAGCTGATCGCCCGGCTGGAGCGAGGGGAGGAGCCGTGGGTGCCGGATCTCCAGGCCAACGAGGAAGGGGAGAGCCCGAGAGGCACCCGCCCAGGTGAGCAATGAGGGAAACTGAGGCAGAAGCATCTGGCGAGGGAAGGAAAAAGCCGGGACTCCCCTCAAGGTGCCTTTGGTTCTGCTGTGTCTCACCCTGGCCTCGGCTTCCCTGGGTGGGATGTGGGGGCAGGCTCAAAGTCCCTTTGCCCTTCCCAGCGTTCCTTGGGAGCTGGGCACTGGGGCGGCTGCTCAGGAGAGATTCAAAGGCCGCCGAGCTGGTTAGCAGAGCGCCCACCGCCAGGTTTTGTGGTTCGATTGGTGGTGCACATCCGCACGGCCTCGGTGCAAATAATATTATTCTGCACATGGATGGAAAAGCTTAGAGGGAACACTGGTCCCCGACAGTCACCTGGTTTTGTTTTCCCTTTTTCTAGTCCCCTTTCCGACTTGTCTCCTGCCGGCACACTCAGTGACTCCTCCCTGGGTTCTGTCTCCCCCAGCAGGCGACGGGGCCGGGGGTGAGAACAAGGAGGAGGATTGGCAGCAGGAAGGCCCTGGGGGCGTGGAACCGCCGGAGCCGTTCTCGGGGCGAGCCGGAGGGAGCTTTCCCCCGGGCGTGGCAGCGGGACGTGAGCGACACGGGGCCGGGGGGCAGCAGACCCGGGACGGATCCGCGCTGTGCGGTGCAGGGGTGAAGGGGGCCGGGAACGGCGCGGCTCCATCGTCAGTCCTCACCGAAGGGAAGCCCTACAAGTGCCGGGAGTGCGGGAAAAGCTTCCGCTGCAGTTCCAGCCTCCTCATGCACCTGCAGAGCCACACCGGCGACAGGGCGGTCAAGTGCCTGGCCTGCGGGAAGGGCTTCAGCCAGACGGCCACGCTGGTCATCCACCAGCGCAGCCACACCGGGGAGAGGCCGTACCCGTGCCCGGTGTGCGGGAAATCCTTCATGGACAGCACCTCCCTGATCAAACACGGGCGCATCCACACCGGGGAGAGGCCCTACAAGTGCCAGGAGTGCGGGAAAGGCTTCCTCGCCAACTCGGTGCTCACCATCCACCGGCGCATCCACACCGGGGAGAGGCCCTACCCGTGCCTGGTGTGCGGGAAAAGTTTCATGGAGAGCTCCTCCCTGCGGAACCACGGGCGCATCCACACCGGGGAGAGGCCCTATCGGTGCCACGCCTGCGGGCTGAGCTTCCGCCTGAAATCCACCCTGAACTCGCACCAGAAAACCCACACGGGCGAGAAGCCCTACGCCTGCCCGGCCTGCGGGAAATCCTTCCTCTCCAGGTCCACCTTCCGCGTCCACTGCAAAACCCACACGGGGGAGCGGCCCCACCGGTGCGCGGCCTGCGGGAAGGGCTTCATTCAGAAATCCGAGCTCACGATCCACGAGCGGCTGGACAACGGGGAGAGGGCCT